TATGTATGATATGTTTTATAATGATTGATCATGAAAGTGTTCTCAAAGCTGGTAAAGGTGCAGCTAGTTTGAATGACTTTGTATACTGCAGGGTAGCTTGTGGATTTACTCCAGGTGGAACTAAAGTCTGATTTAACACTTGATTATATTTCACATCATTCATCCACATCTGTGAAGTAACTAAAGGTATTAATACATGTAGTGGAGGAAAAGTACACCATTTACCTCTGAATTGTATGGGTAGAAGTACAAAGTAGCAACCAATTAAAAAACTCAAGTAGAGTACAAGTCCCTCAAAATTGTACTTTATTACTTGAGTAAATGTACTTAGATACTTTACACCCCTGTGTCCAGGTCCCTGTCTCCCTCCCTCTTCCTCTCGCTGCAGTCCTTATAGTAATAACTGTCTGTGGTGCTGCACATCCTCACCTCACAAACCAGCTGATCTGTATCACCTGAAAGCTTTTTTCCACCACAAATACTTCACACATAGTATACGTATATTACATGTATTTAATACCTTTAGTTACTTTACAGATGTGGATGAATGATGTGAAATATAATCAAGTGTTAAATCAGACTTTAGTTCCACCTGGAGTAAATTCACAAGCTACCCTGCAGTATACAAAGTCATTCAAACTAGCTGCACCTTTACCAGCTTTGAGAACACTTTCATGATCAATCATTATAAAACATATCATATATATTATTCTGAAATGGACCAATCTGCACAATGACTACTTTTACTTTAGGTACTTTAAGTATATTTAGATGATAATACTTGTTCTACTTTTACTTGAGTAACATTTTGAATGCAGGACTTTTACAGTAACAGAGTATTCCTACACAAGATCTGAGAACTTCTTCCACCTCTGTCTGATTTCAAACTCTTCCATTAACACCCTGAGTAAGTTTGCAACTGTGTGTTTTACTCCACTTTGTTGTAAATAAAACTGCTGCAGCTTGACCACAGAGCGTGAAGGTTGTGATCAGCTGATTTTGCGCAGTTCTCCAGTGTGTGCGCGGGGCACATAATGTGCACAGGGGAGTCTCCCACTGCAGCGAGTTGGCGGAGTTTTGGCACAATTCTGTTGTTCATACCGACGTTAACCCTGTCTGTGCACACGGTGAACAACTCTGTCGTCCAGTGATCTAAGCCTCTGCCTTCTGTAAAGCTTCACAGGTCCGTCGGTTATGTCCTGCGCGGCTCGCCCAGCACCCAGTACAGTCAGTCATAGAAAGTTCGAAGATTTTTTGCAGGGAGCGAAACGGCAGCGTAGCTGCTTAATGTCTTTGGTTATTTTGACATGTCTAGTAGTTTACTCCATTGAGTGTTGACAAGAAACACGTGTAGACGAAATATGTGTTTTGTTTTGATGTTTTGAGTTGAAGGCGCGTAGTGAGTGACACAAGTGACGTTACGCAATTCAGATTTGTGCCGCGCATGCGTACCTGCGTACCAGTTATGTGCACCCTTGCGTATATCCCTTTAGAACTGGGAAACACTTTCATTTTAGGTATCAACAAGTTTTAGTAAGGGCTGCAGCCCTTTATCCTGTATCCATGTCGTGTGTATTATTTATCATAACAATAACAATAATATTAAATACAAATATTCCAAAATAATTTAAATACATATCAGAAAATACATTTTTATTTTGCTTAACTCAACGCCCCCCAACACAAAAAAAGTCTCAAACTATTGCTTGATACTTTTAAAATAAATTCATGCTACAACAATTTAAGGCGCCGTTTACACGAGGAGAAAACTGCTTGTATCTGCATAGTTTCGCGTGCGTATAGCCCTATTATTTACACGAGGCCGATAGAAACTGACCCCACAAACGATAACGGGTCCCAAGGTGGATAGATTTGCAAACGAAACGCTCTGGGGGGTCAACCGAGTCCGTGTAATCACCTCTATACGAATATTTCCTGAAAAAATCGCGATAGCCCCACCTCTCCCCACCTCTCCTGCTCACTGCTGTAGCAACTATCAAAAATAGCTGTGTTCATTAAACGCACAAGGGGTTCTTGAATGAAATAATATTATAAAAGGCAAACCAGAATTGTTAACGCCCAATATACTCCTTAAACAAAATAAACAGAGTCAGATTTCATGCATTGATCCATTATATTGACAGTTTTCCAGCCAAACAACACAAACAAAATTAAACAGTCCGCTCTGCGATACACCAAACTTGTCTTTATTGCCTAATCCAGGCCATTATTGTTCACGAGGACCGGCGTGTCCCAGAGGTGCGATCTCACCCGGTGTTTGTAGAGAATATCTCTCTTTCTGAGCCGTCCTCTCCACAGAGACGTGCTTCTTGGTCGGTCCCACAGATTCGGTTTCTTTCAGTTAACTTCCCCGTTGCATTTATCCATATGCTGAGGAAATTACTATATCCCGCTGAATACCAGCAATCGCCACACACACTTCCTCCTGTCAGTAGCTACTGCTACTGCTACTGCTACTGACCATGCTACAGATATTAGTGCAAAATCTACAGCTCCTCTACCACAACCATCAGCAACAAGTGGACATGGAGAATTACATGAACTACATGTTGCTAAATACACCGCGGGGCTTAAACAGAAGGGTAGCCATGGCAACATTGTGGCGGGGCTGCTCGGGCTGCTCTTCTTCGCGGCTTTTGGTGTATTTTGGCGGAAGTTACAGCGCCACTTACAGTCCCGGCCAGAGGTCGCGTTAACCGAATATTTTCCGTCTATGACGTAAGTTTTCCAAGAATGACGGAAAACTCTGAAAGCAGTCCGTCATTTTGACAGATTAGAACACAACTCGGAACAGCGCCAAAATGTCCACCAGCGGCCCACATTATATTACATCCTTAGTGGCCAGGTCGACTGAGGGCGATCTACTGTACTCTACTGTAACTATTATTTAGTAATTCACACCCCTGTCCAGTTGGTGGCGAGTGTGTGCATATTAAGTAGCTATTGTCTAGTCTTGTATTTGACCTCGTTGATTTCCTCGTTGTTTAACCGGCTTTAGCAATCGCAAAATGTCACGAAGCTTTTTTAATAAGCCCAGTAATTGTGATGGTGTGGATAAACGAGGTGAAAAAAGAGGGATTGATGCAGTGGAGGATGAAGGACAAGCCAGTAAGACTAAAACTGACAACGTTCAGCCAGCAGCAGAGGGACAAGCAAGGAAAAATAAATCATTCATATTCGTTTTGACATGAAAAGTGTCTCTGTTCATCTTTTTTTTCTCCATGCCCTTAAAAGTTCTGTATGAATCATAAAAAAAAGGAATGAATGAACATTTGCTGCTTAGTACCCAAACATAAATATTAAATATGTCTCATCATTAAAACATGAAAAATAAAATGATGGGTAATAATGGATTATGACGGAAATGTCACGATCCTGTCCGTCAAAATGACGGACAACGAAAATGTCTAACGCAACCACTGGTCCCGGCATATGTACTACAGCGTTTCCAGCGGCCTCGTTTGAACAGACACGTTAAATGAAACTAATGCATGTGAACGGAAGACTTTTTTGAATACGCATACTGTGCATAAACGCAAACGGTCCCGTGTGAGCGGGGCCTAAGTCCCTGCTGCCCCAGTGCAATATGCAGCAGCAGGGAATTTGAAGTATACACATCTGCCCTTTCATTGATTCTGCTGCAGATAGCAGGGATTCCACAATTCTTCAGGTGATGTGCAGAGTCCTCAGTTAACAACTTATCTAAAGAGTGAAGTGGATTAAAGTCCATGAATATGTGTTTCCCAAAACATTGAATGATTCCTAACCTGCGCACTGTTCGGTCTGTTGGGCTATAATTCCTGCTTTGTGTCCACATATCATGCTGCTAGTGTCAGATAAAGCGTCCAGACTAAATTATCAGCCACAAATATTTGTACCCAACCAATTCAATACAATGTATTCATGTGTTTAATTTGTGTGTTCAATTATTGGTTTTCACCTTTGTCAGGCCAAATCAAGTATATGTTATCACAATCAGAATCAGAAACAGGTTTATTACCAGGTAGGTTTAAACTTACGAGGAATTTGACTAGGTGTCGTGGTGCATACATAAAAGTAAAACAACAATTAAAACACAGATAGAGAACTAGAAAAAATATTACAAATAACAAAAAATATAAATATAACAGTATTTACATTGCAATGGAATAAAAAGGAATACAATATGGAATAAAAATATAAATCGGCAGTAATAAGAAGATATTGTTGTACATTGTGTGCATTAATGCTGCATAGACTCTATGATGTGGTTGAGGTAAAGTGTCAGGGGGGGGGGGGCCTTATTGATGAGGCATTGACACATTTTGGGTTTGGATGAAAGAGTTGGAAACTGGCTGTGGTTGTTACCATGTGTGTCGGTAAGTGCTGAGATACCTTGGCACAAAGTGAACAGTATTTTTGAAATTGTTCTTAAACATTTTTTTTAATGTGTATTGGCTTTGAAAGTATAAACCCTTAAATAGAATATAATCTGTTGACTCTTCACACTATGCAACTTGAATACTGGAGCCCTACACCTCATCGAAGAATGCCAAACATTAGTCTTCTCACATTTCCCTGGGAGCTCTGTTCCAGTTTTGTGAATGGTTTTGTGTTGTGATGTGAGAGCAGCAGCTGAGCCATGCTCAACCAGCAGCTCCTCCCACAGAGAGGAACCCCTCCCTCCTGCCTTAGCACACTCCCATCACTCCCACATAGGTTGAGTAACTTTCAGAGAGCAGCACAGTTCATTGCATATAGCCACAGGTTGCCCTTACACTGGAGCACAACACATCTGTGACTGCATCTGAAGGAGGCCCCTTTCCCTTTCAATCATCAGCGTGGTAAAGACCATCATTTCAGCCTTTTATTTCATTCATCTGGCTGACACTTGGCCCTCTGCTTTCATCTGCTTTTTTTATTCAGCAACATTTTAGGATTTGGACTTGATCAATTACAGAGTAGCACATTATAAGGGTGCATCTACATAAAGCCAGAAAATGAACTTTGATGAAATTCTTTGCCTTATTGGCGGCTTTGGGAAGTTCCAGAAGACCTTGTATATATGGATATGTCTACCTCAAATCTTTCTGGCATTCCACATGCTGGTCTCTGTCTTCACTGGGGCCGTTCCTCCGCATTTATGCCATTCCTCAGTGGGCCCTCAGGCCTTTTTGAACTTCACCTTCAGTAGTCCGTCCTCCCTTTACGGCCAGTCCGAGCTGTCGTGCACGGTTCCTCTGAACCTCAGCGGGGATGCAGGTCTGGGCGATGGACACCCCTCTGAGAAGTGCCAGGGGGGCTGGGATTACAGCACAGAGACCTTCCAAAGCACCATAGTAACTGAGGTGAGTGAAAAACAAACCGTTTGTCGGGCAGCATTCCAATTCAGGATTTGATTTGACTGAATATTTAAGTTTTCACACAATGTGTTTACCATGAGGACTCCATGCATCTAAGGAATGTGGAGCGGCTCAGACGTTTTATTTCAGTGGGCGGGGGTGATACCTGAGACAGGGTTAAACGAGAGTTTGAGAGATGGACTCCTGCGGTGCATGCATCTTCTGGCCATTCCACTCACCCGGTCCCCCTCCCATCTTCTGTCAGACATGAATCTGAGGGGTGGGCAGCTGCAGCCCTCAGTGATGCTATTGGAAGGGTCACCCGACGCAACGTGTGGGGTTGGCCGTCCTCCACTGTGGCACTTGAAGATGTGTGCAGCTCTGCAGCCATCCAGGATTGGCTATATCTGTTCGATCCATGTAATGTGCATTTATTACAACAAGAACAAGACTCCATGGCTCAGGAAGTCCCTTTCACCACCTTTCCCAAAGTGTTGGATAGTTAATATGCTGACTTCACAAGATGCACGGTTTGCTTTTAGCTCCCTGTGCACTCTTCCTCACAATGAGAAAAAGCTTGTTAAGTTTTGTTTCTATGGTTACCCTCCCTGCTAGCTTGTGCTGCTTAGCACAGCTGAAATCTGATTGGTTGTGCATCAAAAGGTCAGCGGCAATCACGGTCAGAGTGAAATATTTTTAACTTTGAGGGCAGCGCTCGGAAAAACTTCTCCACACAAACACTGCAACAGAGGAGGTGGTGTAAAGGCCCTTTAGATGACGACACATTTTACATCAAGTTGGGCTCAAAGAATGTTCACAACAGAAATGGGTCATCCTACTGGGGACACATCAAATGTGGTCAAGAATGTACCCCTTCTTGGAAACTTAAATTGAAATCTTATTATAATAATGATGCAAAAGGAAATGCCCCTTAGAACCCATCATTATTTACCCTCTCCTTCACACGGCCGAGGAGACACCTGTGCTCTATTCAAACAGGCGTCCACAGCAAGTTTAAATGCAGAGTTTAAATGTTGCTTTGTGTGTGGGTGATGATAAAAAGAGGATTCAAATATTCCATTTCCTCTAGAACCAATTTCTAGGATTATATTGTCAGTCTTAGGAGTTAAAAATAACGAATGTTCTGTCTGAAACGAGTGTGTGTGTTTCCTTGCAGTGGGACCTGGTGTGTGAGGATGCCAGCCTGAACAACATTGGCTCCTCGGTGTACATGTTCGGCCTGCTGGTTGGAGCTGTTGTGTTTGGGAGCTTAGCTGATAAGTACGTTTGTTGACACATATCCATCTTTAGAGCCCTATCGAATGGATAAAGTAACACCTTGCTACTTTTGTATGGGATCTGACTCCAGCATTACTTTCTAAAAAGGTTTTATTTCATCACATGCTGTCTGATCATTATTCTTTAGAACCGTGTTCCCCTTTTGTTTACATGGAAAGAGCGAGTTCAGGGAGATGTTGTCTTGTTGCAGGTACGGCCGCAGGATTGTCATTCTCTTTAACCTGGCTATCCAGGCTGTCTTTGGGGTAGGAGCTGCTTTCGCCCCTAATTTCTACGTCTACATCGCCCTCCGCTTCATGGTTGGAACATCCATCTCTGGTGTCATCATGAATGCCTTTGTCCTAGGTCAGTGGCTTATAGAAAGTTAAAGTGATCTGTGATTTCTGTCTTTGTATCCTGAATTGAAGTAAATTAAGATGTATTATAAATACTTTTTATTATTTTATTTAGAAAGGATTTGTTTTAGTCTTTTAAATGTTCTAATCTTGAACTCATCTATAAATCCCTTCATAACCAGGATTCCCATGTGGTTCCATTCAACATGTATAATTCCCTACAAAAGTCAAAGTGTATCCTGACTAGGATCACATTAAACTCAGACTGAACAGTTGTTGAGAAGGCAGTGTTTCCCACAAATCTGAGATATACTTTGGGGGGGGGGGGGGTGACGTGCAACAACAACATTAACATTAACCTTTCTGTTGGTCACTTGTGAGCAGACCCTTCACGTGATGGCAGAGCGAACAGGTACAGCCAGGGCCGGACCGAGACAATAAGTCAGGCCGGGAATTATACACCCAGCCAGGCAACTACCAGTTTTATTTTGTGCCATTTTGCTGGATTTATTTGTCAATATTTACAGCGTTGCTGCCCTATAGTTTAAATCTACTACCCACAAATAAATATATGGACATGGGTTACTATTTAAATAAAATTGTAATTTTATTTAGGAACCTGTCCATGTTTTTTTAGATTTTGGAGTTAAATGCATCAATCTGGTGCATTTTGAGGGGCAAATAAAGAGACTAGATCTATGGGAACACCTATATGAAACAGAACTGTATACATTTCAAAAATCATAAAATCATGGCCATAACCAATAACATAACATATCCAATATGAAAAAACACTGAAACTTGTTTATTTATTTAATTTTGGTTCATTTATAGTTGTGAGTGTGTCTGTGCTCCTGAATCAGCCTCACCTGTCTCCCTCCTCTCCCTCCTCTCCCCCCTGCTCCTCTTTGAGGCAGCAGCAAAGACTAGTTTTAGCTCTCAACAAGTTTTAAAAGTGTATCTTACCTTTTTTCAGCTAGTTAATTTTTTTTTTTTTATTCATGCATCTGTTACTAATCACTCCCCCCTCAAATGGAAATATGAGTTTACATAAATGGTGACCAAACCGTTTGAGACCCACTGAGAACTTAGACTAAGTTAACTATCTAAACCAGGGGTGCCCAACCAGTCGATCGCGGGGAGATTCCCAGTCGATCGCGAGATGTGTCAAAAAATAGAACAACAATATTCTGTTTTATCGTTAATGTCCTATAACATAATCTTCCTGTGCCAGAATAATGCACTTGAACGCATCAAGTGTCGGGGCGTGGCTGGTGGGCAGTGGGCACTAGTTAGCTGACGTTGTCTATAGAGTGGCGAAGTCACGTTCCGCCCCATGGGACCTTATTTCGGAAAAATAATGTATTGAAGTCAATGGAGAGAGAAAACTTATCTTTCGATCCCGTTTGAATTGTGCCATGAATTACACATATGATGTTTGTCAATCTTAAAAAATAATTTCCATGTCAAAAAAGTCACAGTTTGTCGTAAAACTGTTGAAATATAAGACTATGAAAAATACGTAACTAGAAAGACTACAAATCCCAGAGTCGCGTAAGTGATGTCACAATTGTTTTCCTCCACTAAGAGATAGCTAAGATCAGCGCCATATAGATATAATCTATCTATATGGCGCTGGCTAAGATAAGATAACTTTCACAAGATGCCTGTGTGCTTAGTACCAGGTTGTTATTATACCAGCAATGGGTCTTGCTCGTTCTTTTGCTTCCCGTCTGATGAAAGGACCAGGAGTGGCTTGATCAAGTTAGCTACCTAGCTAGTAGCTAGCACGTTAGTTAGCATTACAGCCTTGTCATTTTTATTAGCCTTAACATTAAGTAACATTAAGTAACCCAAAATGTTAAACAGTAAGAGTAGTAGTCATATTTCGTGAACCCTTTGAAGAGTACTGTCACTGGTGTGATCATTCTATAATACACAATTTAAGCCCGGGGGAGAAATGCTAACGCTAACGCTAGCTTCGACGATCTTCTCTACTTCATGCTATCTGCACAAATGGTTGACATTAAACATTAAAACGACCAGGCAGTTCAGAGAGAATCAAAGGAAGGCAGGCAGCTTTGCATGACTTTCTTCTGGACGTGTTTCATTGTGGTGATAGTGAGGGTAGTCAATCGTTTTGTTGACAAGACAGTAGTGACGGCCATCTTGGTGACGTGTGTTGTTGACCAGAGATGTAGTTCATTGAGCGTTTCACACAAACAAATGTGTTACTTCACAGTTTTACGACACATTTTTTGTTTTTTTACTTGCAAAATTATCTTTTAAATTGACAAACATCATATGTGTAATTCGTGGCACAATTCAAACGGGATTGAAAGATAATCTTTCTCTCTCCATTGACTTCAATACATAATTTTTCCGAAATAAGGTCCCATGGAGGTCCACCGGAAGGGGAGGGACTTCGCCACTCTATAGCCTCATCTCAATACCCCTCCTCGACTCCTCTCTTCCCCTCCTCCGGGACTTGACCCGGAAATCGATCAAGACACGCCATGTTGAAGGACGTCCCAATAGCTGAAATGCACACGGAGGAGTCGAGGAGGGGTGAGGGAGGAGGGGTGCGGGAGGAGACGAAAGGGAGGATACACGAGAGCAGACTACGCGGAAGTGTTTTCACTACTCGCGTATAAAAGCCCCGCCCCCACCTTCACAGCTGGTCGATTTCAAGAGAGGAAAACGGAGAACTGGAAGAATGAGTGGAAAAGCGTCACATAAATGTATAAGTGCTCACAGCTCCGTGGGAATTATTATGTGCAATTCATTTCTTAAGGTTATACTAACAATTTAAGTAATGTTTAATGATCTTGAACGTCACTAAAACATAGCTATTAAGAAAGCTATTTCATAAATGGCTAGATCTTGATAAATAACAATTATTTGTTTTGTGTTAAAATATTCAGTAGTTAAATGATTTAAAATGCACAGTCCTGAATGTGGGTTTGTGGTGAATGTGGGGATCGACAGGACACACATGTTCAGAGTAAAGGCTTTCACATTATTATAATTATAATTTTATTGAAATGTACATTTTACACCAAAACGGAACACAAAAGCAGGACCAACCATCATACATTGAATTCCTTGACTAACAAGAGAAAGATTCATCATTTAAATACATATTTAACAACAAATGGGCCGGTTCTAAAGGGTTATTCAGTTAAGCCCGATGAGAGGGGATACAGCTGTGCACATGTCATCATTAACAGACGTCGTTTAAAAGTGACGTTTGAGTGAACGAGGACATCCCACTTAATACCTGAGGACTCCTCTGTCCTCGCGTCTCCTCCTCGTGTCTCTCGCTCGCATCTTACGGAGGCGGAGCTAAGACGCAAGGAAGGGACGCGAGTGAGGGAAAGGAGGAGTCGAGGAGGGGTATTGAGATGAGGCTTGTGTCAACAGGAGTGACAGTCCGCACACACACAAGACCGCAATTATGGCAGAAGCAAAAAAGCCCAAAATATATAATTTTCACTCCGAGTGGGAGGATGATTCTTTTTTTGTTTATTCCAATTCAAAGTCCATCTGTCTCATCTGCAATGTGAGCGTGGCTTTATCGAAGAAGGGTAATTTAGGAGCGGCATTTCAAAACAGTGCACAAACGCTACGAGACGGAATTCCCTCCTAATTCTGCCCTATGCTCTTCTGTTCGTTGCGTGCATATGTAACAGAGTTAAACATGTGAATACATCATTATAAGTTTGTGAATGTTTAATTCATAATAAGTTGTGAATTTTAAGAGATGAGATTGTTTCATTTAATATTTTAAGTTGTGTTTCCCGTGGGAACACCGTCCCGTTGCACGTCTTTGTTTACTTCCGGTATGTATTTTCCACCCTCCGCGGACTGGCCATCTGGAGAATCTGGAGAATCACAGAACAGCCGGTCGTCAAGGGCCGGCTCGATTCGCTGACGGCCGTCACCGCCCTTAATTTGTTATGTTTTTAAAAGGCATCATTGAAGTTGCACCGACAGAGGTCCGCCGTTTCCCCGCAGCGAGGCTCCCCCCAGTTGACAGTTCGCTAGCACCCCAGCCCCCCCCCCCTCTCTATTTGGATTGGTAGATCTCGGCAGACTGGCAACTTTATAAGTAGCTCTTGGTTCAAAAAAGGTTGGGCACCCCTGATCTAAACACTCAGAGAGTCCTTAACCTCACCTGAGCTGAGGTTATCCCGAGCTTGAATGACACACAGAGACCAATCAAGGGCTTTGATTTATGATCTGTATGACAGTGGCCATGCCGGCAGGCCACATCATGTAGACAGCCAGTCACCCTGTGTGAGGCAGACCCACATTTGCACAGCGTTGCGTTCACAATACATACAAAATAATAATAACTTAAAAAATAAACTAAATGGGTCGCGAAATATACTTGGGCGGCCGTTAATATACCTGGGCAGCCCGTCCAAGTAAAGTCTATGAGTGGGAAACCCTGGAAGGGACCAGCCATAGTCATGGCTGATCTGCTGCGTCTTGTTATAGGTTCTTTGTTTGTGTCAGATGTTGTCTTATTTTCTTGTTGTGTTCTGTGTTGCTTTGTCTGTGTTTGTTAGGTCTTCTGTGTATTTGTGGAGTTCTATGTAGTTTTCCCAACCATCAATAGCAACATCCCTCCAGAGAGAATGTTGCAGGTACTTAACAACTTTCACAACACCAGTCAACACCAGTCAATACCAGTCAAAGAAATCACTGACTATAAATATCTATACGTATATACAGTGGAGGAAATAAGTATTTGATCCCCTGACGATTTTGTAAATTCACCTGTTAATTTCTTTGTAAGTGGGCAAACTTACAAAATCTGCAAGGGATCAAATACTTATTTCCTCCACTGTATATGTATATATTATTTATATAAAACAATACAGATAGAATACAATTATTACTATTTTATCGTAATCTTGGTCCTTTTCAAGCCTTCATTATACACTGAAACATTGACTTTAATCAAATGTATTATGTCAACAGATTTCACATAAAAGTATTAGGTTAGTTGAAAGCAATAATATCAAGATAAAATAGATTCAACTTAATATTATTGCTTTCAACTAACCTAATACAGTTCAATCAGGAGAGACGGTTTTGATGTAAGAATACATATTTATTGCAGAGATACACAAATTAATGTAAAGGAGTTTTGCCGATTAGGCCCCGTTGTGCAGGAAGTATCATTCGGGAGGGTAGAACCGATCCGATGAAACCCCCCGGGGTCTAGACACTGGTGGTGGTGAATGGATAGTTGGGTTCGGTCTGAAGGGGAGTGGCTTAGCTTGACCCTGGATTCAGAGGGACAGGAGGTGAAAAGGGGGTGGAGGAGGGTTGCGTCGAGTCACCTGGAATGAGAGCTGTCAGAGGGGAGAGCAGATTTAAAAGGTTTGACAGAGCGCTATGATAGGCTCTTGGGAATAGAGCGAAGTGATTGGTTAAGCTGGAGAGTGACGCCCCCGATCACTTATTGAGAGGAGAGAGAGTAGTTACATGAGAATAGTAAATGAAGAGTAAAGACGGTCTTCCTGGTTGAACTTACGCTGAGCTTCATTTGTGTGAAATTTGTTGTACATTTAATGAATTAATTGAAGTCAAGGTTTAAATTGCTTCAGTGTAGAGATGGCTGAATAAACTGGGTCCAAAAAACCTTCCTTCTCAAAAGGCCCGGTTAGTAATGAGAAGTCCTACAATCCTTTGGAACAGTAAATAACAGTGAGTGTTGGGAACTGGACAAGCTTTACAAAGTCTGAGAAAGAAAACCTGATGATGGCGAATGGTCCGGGCTGATGCTCTTACTTTTACATGTAGTTTCTTTATTGTTGTACACAGTGTCATGCATGTCCTGTTTGTGGCTCAGCAGGCACGGAGTGGACGGGGTCCAAGCAGCGGATGTTGGCTGGAATAATCACAGACTACTTCTTCGGTGTGGGCTACATTCTGCTGGCAGGACTGGCGTACCTTATAAGAGACTGGCGTAAACTGCAGTTGGCTATCTCAGCACCGGGTTTCCTCTTCATCTTTTACATCTGGTGAGTGGGCAGCATTATAACATTGGAGGATGTACCATTTTTAAACCCCTGAGTTCTGCTTTTTGAAAGTCTATTATCCCTTTTCAACCCCTTTGATTAAAATGGATTGTGTAGGGAATGCTCAATGATATGCATGATTAGTGACAAATTCCTCTCATATATCTATTTAGCATAGCAGGAAAATGCAAAGACCTACCTCTGCCTCTTGCTAGAGATCTAACTTAAGTAATAAAACACAAATCTCAAATCTTGTTTGTGTCTCTGGCCTGTACTTAATAAAAAAAAAAGAATACAACAAGAAATAAAACCTCTAGCAGGACTTGGAGCTCCGCATTGACCCAGACAGAGAAATAAACCGTCAGAATGTTTTAGCAACAACATTAACATAATACATAAATTATGACACCATGTACATGAACACCAATATGGCACGACCTTGACGTTCTGCTATCAAGAATCACTCTACTTCAACACATGGAATAAAACAGAATAACTCTTCTATCACTTTTAAGACAATGAAAATACATCCGAACAGCAACATACAATTTTCCTGGCTAGGAAAAAAATAAACAGTTTCTTGAAATCTCCCCTCTAGGAAATAGTTCCTATGGAGGAATGTGTTGTGGGATCCACAGGTGGTTTCAGTTAGCAGCCTGGCTGCAGGCTGAGTGAGGAGTAAAAGAGCATGGTCCTTGTGAGAAAAAGCGTGTTTGCACAAGCCTATTTAATTGTTGCTCAAGGTGCAGATTCTAGTCAAAGATTACAACCAGGTTTTCTTGAGACTTAAAAGACAAACAAGTATGGGACCAGAGATAGAACCTGTGGGACTTCACTGAGTACAGTATATGAGCAGATGAAGAAAAGCTGTCTATGTCAACTACAACCCGAGGAGAGCCGATTGAGAGCAGATCTGAGACCCCATCCCAGTTATTGAGCTGCTAACCAGGATTGATATCAGTCAGGTCAGGCAGGACAGACTGTTTGTCAGCCCACTTGAGGATGCCATTTCACTCTTAGGCATGCTGTTTCTGTGTTGTGTTGGCTACTGAACTCATATTTTAATTCAATAATTTTGCTATTACATTTGTCCTTCAATGACCTCAAGGAGCTTTGAAGTAAAGTTTTTCAAAATGTTGTAGATGAATGTTAGTTTCTGTTTAGGTGTGTACTTATTCTATTAGGTTGGATCAAGGAGGCTTCTTTTTAAAAATAGGTTGAACAAACGGCATCTCAAATCAATCAATCAGATTATATTCTTATAGCCCAATATCACAAATTACACATTTGTTTTTAGAGTCCTCTGTCCTTAGAGCCCTGCAGTTTTTTTCAAAAATGACTGGGAAAAAATCTAAGAAACCTCATAGAGAGCACCAGAGGAGGATCCCTCTCCCATGATAGGACCGACGTGCATTAGAATGTGGACAAAAAAAAAAGAAGCTTCAACAGGATGTTAAAAAGCTTGAAGGTGTCGCACAAATCATCCATCAGAATCACAGCGAGAGGTGAGAGAAGGACTTGGGGCTGAAAGACAGGCACATATAGGAAACAATGTGATTGTGCAGAGAGATTTCGAATAAGCCTGAAAGTACAGTATCATTGTTAAAATTAGATTGAATTGTATTAATTTTTTCGAGAAAGGAAGACAAAGGGTTTTCACAATCTATTGGAGGAGGCAGGGTTAACAGGCCGGCCACTGAACAGGAACATAGCATTGTGTGTGTTGTCACGGACGAGGCCTGCAGAGAAGGCAGCTCTCACATGTTTTGGTTGATTATGCACAGCAGTTCTTGCAGACAGATGAGAAGGACACATAGCCCCAATTCCAAACCGCCCCCTACACCCTACCCCTCCGTTTGTGCGTTCGCGCGGAGGGTCCGCGACATTAAGTGCTGTTCCAAACCAACGAGTGTGGAGGGGGAGTGGGTTATCCACCCCTCAAACAGCGAGTCTGCATCGGTGCTGACTTCACCTGCTGCACTACCTGACCGGTCTCAACGCTGTGTGTGTCCGTCAGGAAACACGCTGTTTACAAACAGTTCCAGCAAACATCCACTGATAAACTGCGATGTTAACAACCTCATGATAACCTCATTTTTTTTTAACTTAGGATCTACCTGTGTTTAGTCTATAAAAAGGTCAATGTGTGCATTTTATTATAAAGTTGTGTATATTTACAGACTGTTGCAAAAACTAAGAAGTTTATAAACATCAGGTTTAAAACTAAAAGAGCGTTGCAAAAAAGTAACACCATTAAAGATGTTTGGAGTTTTATATTAGTTATACATTTTAATTTGTTGTCCAAGAGATGCTGATTTGAAACCGTTGTTACCTATAGTTACGGCATTTCCTGTTTCTGCCGGAGAGAGGGGAGTTTGTTCCAAAGCTTGTCCAGCTGACAGGAGTGAGCCTCATTTAGCTGCGAGTGTCACTCCGACACGGAGTGGGAGTGGGTAGGGTGTGGTTTGGAATTGGGCCTGAGGCTGGATATAATCCATCTACCCTCCACTAGGGCTGCACGATTTGGGGAAATAATCTAATTGCGACAGATATTGCGATTGCGATTTGATTTGTGATATTTGTTTTTAAGCGACCCAACGGAAGTTTATTGTAAAATGCGGCCATATCTCCGGCTAGGAAGGTCGTATCAACGTTTTTTTATTTTTATTAAAAAAATAAAACAAAAAAAAATCGCAGGCTTTGTGATTTGATAATTGCATCATTTCAAATCGCGATTTCGATTTAAAATTGATTAATCGTTAAGCCCTACCCTCCACTCTGCAGTATTACCTTTTCAGTTGATAAATGTGGGCAGTAAACTCAATATGAATGCATTGAGGGAAGGCTACATACAGAGAGGTGGGGTTGGGTTTAAGAGAGCAACAATAATTCATGGGGAGTATGGCAAATAGAGGAAAGTCCTTACAGCGCTGTAGCACTGAGATTGAAAACAGGCCTCCACCACATCAGACATAATATTCATTATTCAACATACTTTGAATGACAACCAGTTTGTCATTGTGGCATAAGCCATTTTGAAACACCTGTCTAGCACTCCTGCGTTACCTTTATTTATTATAGATACTGGGTATCAGGTGTCATCATACAAATACATACACACGTTGTCAAATCAGAATAGAGATCATAGTGGTCTCCTGATGTGCTGGAGATCACATTGATCTCAACAAGTACCGACTCATTCAAAGTATTTATTGTGGAAAATGAATATGCCAGACGTATGCCCAATTAACGTGGAGTTTTATATATGTGTTGTGTTTATATGATATGATGCATTCTTCTGTAAGCAAGTTGAACCCACTGCGACCAACAGAGACTTTGTGTTGCACAACACACACACTGCTTGAATAAAGGCTTGGCTGATTGTGAACGTTTGATAGAGATCAAAGTTATTGTTTTCATTAAGAGCAGACGGACCCTGTTTGATGTGATTTGGTGTTCTGGTGTTAATTATAACACGGATAGGAACGAAGGATTTTTAGGGAGAGCCGAACACATACACAGGGTGGCTTACTGTACATGCAGATCATTGCCAGATGGAAAAAGCCATACAATGGATGTGTTTTGGGTTAGGGTCAGGGGTTAGGGTTGTGTTTGATCATCACTATTTTGGTTAAATATGAATTTAGAGTGAAGACTCCAGAAAATGCCAGAAATCATTTTTACGTTTTTATGTAACCTGTAGAGAGCAGACTAAAGCGCTCGGAGCACTAACAGAGAGAGGGATGGAGACTGCAGACAGTTTTTAGCTCCAGCCCTTTGGTCTTGCAGGTGATGAGTGGTACGCACGCCAAGCTATTCAGGATGTTTCCTGTTCAATGGGGTCATCTCTGATGTGGAAATCAGCCACTAGGCTATCATGCCAATATATTGTGAGCTCCAAATCCTATGCCGCCGGTAAAACTAGCTAAAATAGGTTAACGTTTTAACTAATGAAACCATAAAACAGTATTAAAAGTTAAGCTATGATAAAAACAAGACTCACTTGTAGCAGTTTCAACATCTGTAGTTAAGCAGCAGGGGTCCCCAACCTTGCTGACACTGAGAGCTACCTGAAGGATAACAGGGAATATGGAGGGCTTCTTCTTTGATATCATCTTTCTGAAGAATATACATTTGCAGTTTTCCTTTAAAGGGGACCTATCATGCAAAATGCACTTTTGTACGTCTTTTATACATGAATATGTGTCCCCGGTGTTCCAGGGAACTCACCAAGTGTCAGAAAACACAACCCTCTCTATTTTCCTCCATACCCAAATCTCTAAAAAAGGGGCTGCAACGGATCTGATAAAAACTGATCCAGATTTGAACACTGTCCTGACGTCAGGACAGTGGCGCTACGGCTATTGGGCCAACTCTCCACCTATCAGGGGAATGTGGGGTTGGGCCACGGCCGGCCATTGCCGCTCGAAAGCGCTGGAGACGCTGTAGTACATATGCCAGGCCTGTAAGTGGCGCTGTAGTCTGCCACAAAAGCAGCGAAGAAGACTTCCCGTGCATGGTTACCATGGTTACCCTTCTGTTTATTCTCCGCTGTGGCTTTCTTTCTCCCTCCCCGAGGCAAGCGTTTGCTCCTGCTGCTTTAATTCAATGCAATCCCTCCCCGTCGAGGCAAGCACTGTAATTCTCTCCGGTTAGTCCACCAGCAGATGACAAACACCCACCTCTCCGCCTCTTCCAAGGAACGAGGGGACCGTGCGGCAGAGTTTCAGTTTCAGTTTCTTTCGCCGGTCAAGATGTCCGTTAAAGTTTAAATCTTCCGGACAAAATTAGAAAAGTGCCGGTCAAAGGTCTTCTTTGTTATTTATTGAGCTTTAAAACAAATTAATAACGACTCTATATAATAAAACACGGAGGACGGAGATCTTTTTTTCTCCCCCTCTTCTGACTTGATCAGAGCACGCTATCCTCTCCTGCAGGGGGGCGTGGTCAGCTGCAGCTCACAGAATCAGCCCCCTGCAAAAACAGGGCTGGAGAACAGCAAATAGAGCGAAATGAGGCATGGCTAAAATGCATGATCTGTTTGGTATTTTGAAAACAGAAACGTATAAATATACCTTATATAGGTATGGCCCTACAATATATCATTTAAATATAGCATGATAGGTCCACTTTAAATAATGAATATCATGCATTTAATAGGCTACATGCAATACAATTATTTTTACCTATTACTGTTTCAATGGGCGTCACTTTGTTTTGGCTGGGGACGCTTTTTTTAGATACAAATAAAACAGTTTGGCACCCCACCCTTTTTTTGTACACACTAGTTTCCCTATCTACAGCAACACCTGTAGACACAGGGTTCACAGTCAGGCTACAGACGTGTGGCGTGAGGGAGCCAATAACCTCTTTTTTTAGGAGACTTGCACATGCCTGTTCTCCACACCGACACACATACCTGCAATCTTGAACATGAACATGTACTCTGATTGTTTGAATCCTGAAAACCCTCGCTACACTAGGCGGGAACCTGCAGCATGCTGTCCCCCGCAGCAGCTCCTCACACAGAGGAGAGGAGACCCCTCCCCTCTGAATGACTGTCCACAGTCACTTTTGTCCTTCATATTCGAATACAAACATTGAACTGTATTCATATAAGACAAAAGTGATTTATTTAATTAGGGATGACTCACACTATTTTTAGAACGAACCCTGCGGCCGACCAGGCTCCCGCGTACCCACTGCGATCCCCTCACGTACCCCTAGGGGTCCCCGTAACCCGGGTTGGGAACCACTGAACAAGAGGACGGAAACATCACATTACATTACTTGTTAGACGCTTTTATCCAAAGCGACTTACATACATTCAGACTGTAAGGATTGCCCACAGTCTGGAACAATCTGGGGTGAAGTGTCTGCCCTGAAGATCAGCGCACTATCCCACTGAGCCACAGCCACCTCTGTGTCTATGTTAATAAGAAGGCTTAGCATTTTCTTTACTTTTTCAGGGTGTTGCCGAAGTCAGCTCGCTGGTTAATGGCCAATGACAGAAAGGAGGAAGCATGGGAACTGATCCGGAAAGCAGCGCAGATCAATGGGAAGCCCCTCACCAAAGATCTGGAGATGTGTCAGGTAGAAATGCAACATTTCAATTTTAACATTGTAAAAGTCAATGGATAGATTTAATTTATTCGTCAAATATCAAATCTTTTGAATTCTTCAAAAATAATAAAAAATACCCTTCACAGAAAAAAAGGATCCTCAGTGAACATACTGTAGCTCCTCTTGCTTTAGTAGCAGGGAGAGTGTTCTAGCTGTATAACAGGTACTTCAGTATCACTCTGAAGCAACCATTATTACTTTGCATAAATGTTCCATCACTCATTATCATTTAAAAATGCAAACTTCCCCATCAGTACTGTGTTTTATTATTTTATATACCCAACTCCAAAGTCTCTAACTGTCTTCCTCTGTGTCTCACCAGGTCTATAGAGTTGAAAAGAAAAATGAGGTGAAGAAAAAACACTCATTCATTGACCTGGTTAGAACCCCGAAAATGAGGAAGCACTCTTTGATCGTGTTTTATCTCTGGTAAGGATGAGCAGAGCATTGCCTTTGTCTTTCTACACTGAAAAATCTAAAAAGTTGACTTTAATCAAATGTACTATATCAACATGTTTCACATAAGTGTATTAGGTTCATTGTAAGCTATAATATTAGGTTTAACATATTTAATCTTAATATTATTTCTTTCAACTAACCTAATACAGTTATGTGAATTCTGTTGACATATTACATTTATTTAAATTCAACGTTTCAGGTTTTTCAGTGCTTCAGTGCCTTTTTCTGAATGGGAAAATCTATCCTTGTCCATGTGAAGTCAATGACTCACATCATGCTCTGATCACTTCAACATGACAGCCATTGTTGCACTGAGTTGCTGCAGTAAGGCTTTTTATTTGTTTAGGGTTTACCAATGACACAACCAAACAGCAGAGGGTCTTAGCCCCAGAGCAAAACAGTGTTTGGGTTCCTCCCACATTCCTAACAGTCTGGAACTTTGCTTCTCCAACACACTCCTCTTCCATCGCCTGTCAAAGCTGTGTTCCACTCAATCCTATTATCTTTACTGACTTGTATCAGTCAACTGAATGTATATAAGGATTACTTAGATCGGGGGTGTCCACAATTTTTTCACAGAGGGACACTTACAGAAGAATATTCGAATAAGTTAAGTTATAAGTTAGCAAAATCAATTAAAAGTAGGTCAATAAGAAAAATAAACAGAGTTTCCTTTAATTTGTTAGCAGCTAACCCTTTACAACAGGAGCCCCAGATTGATTATCATAAGAGGAAATAGGAAGGGTATATTCAAGTTTGTTATGTATCTAAGATATTGGGCTTTTTTCTTATCGACTTTGTATATCGAGCCCGATTGTCGATTTCAAATGATTTAATGTAATTGTTTGCCTGACTGGCCATCGTAATCAGGCTCTTTGAAGATCCACAAATCCACGGTTTTCAAAAATGTCTGATCGGATTGGCAAAAACTTCAGAATTTGTATTGACCGCCATTCAAATGACAGCGTTGTTTTCCCCCAAAAGTGGGCGGGGCCGTAATTTTCGTCCGGAAGTGACGTAGGTGTTACTCTCATCTATAATATATATCACTCAGTATAACAGGCCTACATTACTCTCTTTATTTGTATGCTTTAGTTTAGTAGATATCTACAAACAAAGAGTCGATATTTTTCTAAAACCATTTAGGGCTTCACATAATAAAATACACAACAGCTGTATCCTGATATATCATATGCTTTAGGAGCTGTAGGTGTGTGTTGTACAGTGTGTAGGTGCGTGTTGTACAGTGTGTGTGTTGTACAGTGTGTAGGTGTGTGTGTGTGTGTGTGTGTGTGTGTGTGTGTGCGTAGATGCGGCGGACAGACGGGTCTCAGTTGGTTTGGTGTCCTATGCTTACTTTTAATACTTGTAAATACAACTTTTGGCCCGTAATTTAATTTCCCCATTGTAGCGACCAGAGAGAGGGGGGGGGATATATCCAGTCTCTGATAGTGCTTCGCGTCGGGCCGAACCACGCCCCTTAACTGTGATATAATGGCCATATACCACGGCCTGTCGTGAGCTATTGCTTAATTATACCGCACTGTGAATTAATTCAAAGTAAATATATAAGTGGCCATGAACACATCTGTCCATCAGTATATAATGTTCATGAATGGATTGTAAGAACAGGACTGTACACTGAAAAAACTGAAACAATAACTTTAATTGTCAACAATTTCGCATAACTCTATTAGGTTTGTTAAAGGTGGGGTAGGTAAGTTTGAGAAACCGGCTCGAGTGCGCTAGAATTTGAAAATACACAACCGGAGAAAATCTGCCACTTCCTTACAGAGCCCCTCCTCCAACACACACGAACGCGCACATGACCAATGAGGGCACGAGATAAGTTTGTGCACAGATGGAAGGCTGACAGGCAGGTAGGCCATCCAGTTATTTTAGCCGGGCCGGCTAAAATGATTGGTCGTACTTTTTACAGTACTACGGCTTCCACAGATGATATTTTTGTATGGATTTTTTGTCAAAGCACTTAAGATATTCATTGCTATCGGGATGTTAAGAGCATTCCATGGAATATAACAAAAAGTGTATCTCGAGCCGGTTTCTCAAACTTACCTACCCTACCTTTAAAAGCAATAATATTGAGTTGAACCTTATTAATCTTAATATTATTGCTTTCAACTAACCTAATACAGTTATGTGAAATCTGTTGACATAATACATTTAATTAAAGTCAACGTTTCAGTCTAACAGAACTGTCATTAACAACTGTACCGGCATGTCCCCCCGAAAGACTTCTATATTTCCTCCTCCCTCGTTTCTCAGGTTTGCCAACGTGCTGGTGTACTACGGCCTGTCTCTGAACATTTCTGACTTTGGAATGAACATCTATCTGACTCAGCTGATCTTCGGCCTGGTGGAGATGCCTGCACGCACCATCACCCTGTTCACCCTCAACCGCTCACGCAAGTTCTCCCAGCTGGCTTTCCTGGCTGTGGGGGGCACCGCCTGCCTGCTCACCATCTTCGTCCCCAGTGGTACACACACACACACACACACACACACACACACACACACACACACACACACACACACACACACACACACACACACACACACACACACACACACACACACACACACACACACACACACACACACAGTTACATACTTTATTCCTGCACGCCTCCTCAGAGTTTCCTCTTGTCCATCTCGTGGCTGGTGATTTGCTCATTTTTTATCAACATACACTTTGGTGTGCTATAATAAAAAAATGAGTTTGGCAGGTGGGAAAATGCTTATTTTTCTGTGAAAAAGCACCCATGTATCTCCCATGTCTCCAGTCTGTGTATGTAACACTCTTCTGTGTCCTCTCCTCTAGACCTGTCGATCATTAAGACCGTGCTGGCCATGATCGGGAAGTTTGGGATAACAGCCTCTCTGTCTATTATTTACGTGTACTCAGCGGAGGTGTTCCCCACTGTTATCAGGTGAGTTATTACAAACCTGACCCCATGCATGGAATTTCTCTTTCTCTTACATGTTTAGGTTTATCTATGTTTTGTAGTGATCATGAATATAAGAAATATTTCAGGGGGCAGGATACATTTTCTTGCTGTTGCTGATCCACATATAGGTCAACGATGTATCTGCAGCAGTAGAAGTGAATCAGTATCGTGGTTGTGACTCTATGTGTCCCTCACAGACAGAATGGGATCGGCATCGGCTCCATGTGTGCTCGGACCGGAGGAGTCCTGGCTCCCATGATGTACCTGCTTAGGAGACTCAATCCTCACGCTCCCATGGTGCTGTGCGGCCTCTGCCCTCTGCTGGGCTCCGCCCTCACCCTGCTGCTCCCGGAGACGGCCAATAAGCCCCTGCCCGACACCATCGAGGACGTAGAGGGATCCCCCCTCAGGTGTGATACCAACACTTTCAGATAGGGCTTGCGTCGTTACCGCAAACTAATCACATGACCAAGTTTGACCCTCCCCTCCTTCCAGCGTGGATGTTTACCATGAATTGCGTGGCAATGAAAAGTTAAAGAGAGCAAATAATTCTGCACCAGCTACATGTGTTGCACTGACTGGAGACTGGACATCAGTAAGAACCGTCACAACCTCACTGTAACGGAACACCTGATCCATGACTAATGTTCTGCACTCGCTCTGTAAAAAACGTTTTGCTGAAACATTCAGCAGTTTCTTGAAGTTGCACAGGAGTGGGAGATAGCAGACAGGGTCACCACTGCAGGAACAGACAGTGCTCACAGGATGAATACAACCAAACAAGTAAATGTCCTGTGTAGAAGGGCAAGGCCATTTTATTTATACAGCACCTTTCAACACAAGGCATTCAAAGTGCTTTACACAAAGGAAAGACATTAAGAGCATTTAGAAATAGTGCAGCGGAAACACATTATAATGGCATTTAAAAACAGGCATTAAAAGCAAAGAGAATAAAATAAACATAAAACAAGCTAATATATAAATACATGAATAAAAGTTACAGTGCAGTCTGAGATATGGATAGTTCAATTAAAAGCATCTTTAAAAAGAATAGTCTTCAGCCTGGATTTAAAAGTAGTCAGAGTTGCAGCGGACCGGCAGATTTCTGGGAGTTTGTTCCAGATGTTTGGAGCATAATAACTGAACCCTGCTTTCTGGGGACAGAAAGTAGGCTCGTCCCTGAAGACCTGAGAGTTCTGGATGGTTCATCATTTAGCAGTAGGTCAGAAATGTATTTTGGGCCTAAACCATTTAAAGCTTTATAAACCAGCTGCAGTATTTTGAAATCAGTTCTTTGACAGACAGGAAGCCAGTGTAAAGACCTCAGAACAGGACTGATCCACTTTCTCAGTGTTAGTGAGGGAACCAGTGTAAAGACCTCAGAACAAGACTGATCCACTTTCTCAGTGTTAGTGAGGAACCAGTGTAAAGACCTCAGAACTGGACTGATCCACTTTCTCAGTGTTAGTGAGGAACCAGTGTAAAGACTTCAGAACAGGACTGATCCACTTTCTCAGTGTTAGTGAGGAACCAGTGTAAAGACTTCAGAACAGGACTGATCCACTTTCTTAGTGTTAGTGAGGAACCAGTGTAAAGACCTCAGAACTGGACTGATCCACTTTCTTAGTGTTAGTGAGGAACCAGTGTAAAGACTTCAGAACAGTGATGTGATGTGATCCACTTTCTTAGTGTCAGTGAGGAACCAGTGTAAGGACTTCAGAACTGTGATGTGATCCACTTTCTTAGTGTCAGTGAGGACTCGAGCAGCAGCGTTCTGAATCACCTGCAGCTTTCTAATATATGTTTTAGTGAGACCTGTAAAGACACCTTTACAGTAGTCGAGTCTACTGAAGATAAAAGCATGGACAAGTTTTTCCAAATCCTGCTGTGACATTATTCTTTTATTCCTAGATATATTCTTAAGGTGATAGTAGGCTGATTTAGTAACTGTTTTAATGTGACTGTTGAAACTCAGGTTATAGTCCATGACTACACCTAGATTTCTGGCTTTATCTGTTGTTTTGAACATTGCAGACTGAAGCTCAGCGCTAACTTTTATACGTTCTTCCTTTACTTGGCTCCAAGTTTTATCTTTATTTAATTGGAGAAGGTTCTGACACATCCAGTCATTGATTTGTTCAATGCACTTACTCAGTGTTTGAATTAGAGCATAGTCTTCTGGTGAAATGGTTATGTAAATGTGTGTGTCATCCGCATAGCTATGGTAACTTATTTGGTTGTTTTTCATTATCTGAGACAGTGGTAGCATGTAGATGTTAAAGAGAAGAGGCCCCAAGATGGAGCCTTGAGGTACCCCACATGTCATATTTGTCAGATATGTATTTACCTATAGAAACAAAGTTGTTCCTGTCCTTTAAGTAGGATTCAAACCAATTTAGAACTGTTGCCGAAAGTCCCACCCAGTTTTCCAGTCGGTCTAGTAATATGTTGTGGTCAACAGTGTCAAACGCAGCGCTAAGATCTTATAATACTAACACTGAGATTCTGCCACTGTCTGTGTTTAAGTGGATGTCATTGAAGACTTTAACAAGAGCAGTCTCAGTGCTGTGGTTTGGTCGAAAGCCTGACTGGAACACATCAAAACAGATATTTAAAAAGGTCCCCTATTATACTCTTATCAACAATCAAATCAAAGTTTGCCGGCACACACACTTACTCAGCCTTATCTTTTCTCAGCCGTGGCTCCGCGGATCTCCACTCACAGTTCGCCACACACTCACGTGTGTGTGCTCAGGCTGAGTTCCGCGGTGTCACGCTGTCTCGCAGACCCCACGCAGCAACCAGGAAACGACACCAGTAATAAAGCTCACACTGTCCGCTCCTCGAGCGGAGCAGCGAGCCCCGCAACGTCCCGCCAACACAGCACCCAGACCCCACGCAGCATTCTCATCTGTTTGTCATTACTGGTGTCATTTTCTGGTTGCTAACAAACGCCATTGTAACACATAAACACACATCAGAGCACAGTGGGCTCACAGGAGCTCCAACAAGCTGTTTAGGACAGAGAGTGAATACACATACTATACAGAGATGCTGTATGAGAAACCAATGTGATTTTGGAACATTGAACAATGTAAATCTATTCTAGTAGACCTCAACAATGGAATTATGATCAGTAGAAATGGCCATGACATGGGACCTTAAAAAAGAAGAGAAGATATTTTTCCTGAAACTTTCCAATCTCTTTACACAGAGGGGACACATATTTATGTAAAAAATACATGGAAAAGTGGATTTTGCATAATAGGGGACCTTTTATCCAAAGAAAGGGACTCAGCTGTTCAAAAACAACTGTTTCAATGATTTTATTTAGAAATGGGAGATTTGTTATGGGCCTGTAATTGTTCATTACTGAAGCGTCTAGATCAGGGGTGTCAAACTCAAGGCCCGTGGTCCAAATTCGGTCCACAACCTCATTTAATATGGCCCACAAGAGTTGCAAAGAATGTAATATTCAATAAAATTGGTGTAATTGTTGAATATTTGCTTTCAATTATTTGCCCTAGACTTCTGCTTTCAGACGTAGTTATTTATGAAGTTATTACCTGAACCTATAATAATCCAATGCAGAGCCAATAATGTAATATAATACATTATTTAATATCTATTATATATTTATATATATTTATATAGTCTTCAAGTTACAACCGGCCCTTTGAGTGCAACCATAATGCTATTGTGGCCCGCGATGAAATTAAGTTTGACACCCCTGGTCTAGATTGTTCTTTTTTAAGAGTGGTTTAATGACTGCAGTTTGCAGGGCCTGCGGAAATACACCTCAGTGAAGAGACTTGTTTACTATATGTAGGAGATCTGAGGCCATGCAATGACATTTAAATAAAACGAGGGGTTACGTATGGTAACCCTTGTTATATAAACACAGGCGGAGCCCTCTACTGGACTCTATGGGTACTACCTTATCATGCAAGCATTCACCTACTGAGATTTCTATAGACGTAGCCGGCCCCGGGGCGGGCCTACCTGAATGCGTGCACAAGCCCACCGTATATAAGGCGGCTACGCCTCCCGTTCCCGTCATCCTACACTTCTCTTCAGCATAGGACAGACAGAGCCCCCGAGTAGAGGGCTCCGCCTGTGTTTATATAACAAGGGTTACCATACGTAACCCCTCGTTATATCTCTCACAGGCTCCGCCCTCTACTGGACTCTATGGGTACAGTGGGCGGAGCCCCGATGTATACACGCGCTGTCGTCCCACAACAACACTGTTCCATCTCACTGTCTCTGACGGCTTTCTGGTTAGCAGCCGCTAATCAGTGTACATCACAGCTCTCCTTAGGGTTTCAATTATTTTGTTGGTAGCTCATTCCTTACAACAGAAGCGTCAGATTGCTTATAATAAGAGGAAATAGGAAGGGTATATTCAAGTTTGTTATGTATATAAGTTATTGGGATTTTTTCTTATCGACTTAGATTTGTTAGAACATATTTTCAGCTTTAATTTACTACATTTATTTGAAAAGTGGGGTTATTAACACAGGAATACAACTGTATAATATCTGTTTACATCTATATTTAAGAAGTAAAAGACAAGCACAAGTTTCATTTGAGGGCCATACTGCATTATATATTTTTTATTTGCTGAGGGCCGATTCAAAATGGTCTGCGGGCCGCATTTGGCCCCTGGGCCAGAGTTTGGACACCCCTGGTATAGATCGTTCCAATAGAGGAAAATGTGTGGCATTCACCAATGTCGTTTTTTCCCTTCTTAAGTATACAAACAAATGTTCTGGTTATGAATCGGTGGAGTGAAGATAGTAGAGTTGTGGACTTGCACCTTTATTTCTACCTCCACCAAAGAAAAGCACTCCTTAACCTCTTAACCTGTTAAGCCCGAGAGACCCCGGTACCGGGGCACTGCCGCAAGATCTTGCAGGAAACAGTGTCTGAGGGCATGTTCATTTAATAAACTATGAATGTTGTATATCCATGTAACGGGAAGAAACTCATCTAACTGATCATTTTTATTTATTTTTCAAAAGAAAACGCACAATGCTAACACTGAGCCTCTGAATTAGCAACGAGCGAAAAATGCTAACACCTTACTGCACCGAAAAGCACTCACAAAACCTTATTATTTATCTTTTCTCCACATCCATGACATTGATTCACATCGTGAGGTGACACAGATGGGTACCCTCATTATCACTGAATTATACGAATTTGCAGAGGTGGGGACTCGAGTCACATGACTTGACTCGAGTCAGACTCGAGTCGCATATTTTTTGACTTGAGACTTGCTTGACTAACATTGATAAAAGACTTGACTTGACTTTGACTTGGTATTCATGACTTGAGACTTGACTTAAGCTTGAGACAGATGACTTGAAAGGACTTGACTGTTTAAAATTAAATATTTGCGTTTGTTTTTGTAGTGAGATATTACGTTTAGTTTTTTCGAAAAATGTGATTGGGTGATTATAGCGCCGTGCGCGCAAACCTGGCAACCCACTAGACCGCAGGAGTGTGAGTTAACATGGCAGCGGCTAGCGTTACTCCACAAATAGTCAAGTTTGGATTCAAGGATTATGTTGTCGATGACGCTAATAAGAAGAGAACAGCGGTATGCAGGGTCTGCAGCATAAAGATCAGTGACACGACCACCACAACATCCAACTTCATTCGTCACTACAAAAAAACCCACAGAGAAAGGTGCGTGAATGTGTTGTGTTAGCTAGAAAGCTAACGTTAAGTTTAAGCTACGTTAGACTTGGTTTCAAATCGATTAAGCATTACAAAGAGAAGACAAAACGGTAAATGAACACTAGAACCGCCAAGGGATTCATTTGTACTAACCCCGATACTGACGGGCTGTCAGGAGAGGGAGAGAGAGAGGAAAAGAGATGCCTCGTTTATTTCCCCTGTGTTATTATCAGAAGTTACTGTAAACTGTTGAATAATGTAGTTCATCTACTTTTAGTAGTTTGTTTAAATGTTTTAATTATGTTGTTTTTGTTTGTAGAAGTGCATAATTCCTTGATTTATTGTAAAATGAATCTGAACTTTTTGATCTGTTATGATGATAAACTGAAGCAATTTCAAAATTAACCCAATGAACTGAGTTTTAAATCCTAGCTATATTGTCTGCAGTTCTAGGGTTAATATTAATCTAATATGATTGTCATCGGTCTAAATTAGATTACCCTCACTATCACCACAATGAAACACGTCCTGAAGAAAGTCATGCAAAGCTGCCTGCCTGCCTTCCTTTGATTCTCTCTGAACTGCCTGGTCGTTTTAATGTTTAAAGTCAACCATTTGTGCAGATAGCATGAAGTAGAGAAGATGGCTAGCGTTAGCGTTAGCATTTCTCCCCCGGGTTTAAATTGTGTATTATAGAATGATCACACCGGTGACAGTACTCTTCAAAGGGTTCACGAAATATGACTACTACTCTTACTGTTTAACATTTTGGGTTACTTAATGTTACTTCATGTTAAGGCTAATAAAAATGACAAGGCTGTAATGCTAACTAACGTGCTAGCTACTAGCTAGCTTGATCCAGACACTCTGGTCCTTTCATCAGACGGGAAGCGAAAGAACGAGCAAGACCCATTGCTGGTATAATAACAACCTGGTACTAAGCACACAGGCATCTTGTTAAAGTTATCTTATCTTAGCCAGCGCCATATAGATAGATTATATCTATATGGCGCTGATCTTACTGTAGCTATCTCTTAGTGGAGGAAAACAATTGTGACATCACTTACGCGACTCTGGGATTTGTAGTCTTTCTAGTTACGTATTTTTCCTAGTCTTATATTTCAACAGTTTTACGACAAACTGTGACTTTTTTGACATGGAAATGATTTTTTAAGATTGACAAACATCATATGTGTAATTCATGGCACAATTCAAACGGGATCGAAAGATAAGTTTTCTCTCTCCATTGACTTCAATACATTATTTTTCCGAAATAAGGTCCCATGGGGCGGAAGTAGATGGGCGTGACTTCGCCACTCTATTGGCTCTAACAGAAAGAGGTGTCAACCATCAAAATCGACCAATGGGTTCCAGAGATATGAAAAAAAAAACATTTCCACCCAAATCACCTCAGAGGTGGAGTGTTTTTGGCTAAACCTCTCTAAAAAGGTCAAATGTCACTTGTTTTGCATCAATCTTGATACAGGGTACTTATATGTTGTACTTTGGATTCCTAAAGCTTTTAGTCTACCTTACCATCATCCAAGGGTAGTTTTCACTATAAGTAAAAAAGAATTTTTGGACCGACACTATAATTTACAGTTTTTTACTATGTTCAATCTGAATTTTCTTTAAAATAAAAAACATCTATATTGTTGTGACTTTTCTACATCCAACTCACAGGTTTATCATTACTTTGAGAAAAAAGATTATTAATTTAACCCTTTTAGAAGGGAAGATATGGTCATTTGTTCTGGGAATGTCATTTTCGAGCCTGAGACCTGAACAACAGGCTCAGGGTTTAAGAGGTTAAACAAGTTGATTGGTGTTGGAGTTGAAGCAGATTTTTATAAATCTAATAAAAGAAGTTGAATTTGAACGCTGAGTTCCAGACTGTTTCTCATCCAGACTCCTTCAGCTGTACCTGGCTCCGAGCTAGTTTTATATCACATTTCATCTTTCCTTTTTCAGTGAGGAGCACGGCGGCGTCTCCGAGAGCTCTCCGGGGAGAACAGACGATGTGGGCAGCTCCAGGACGGACTGACGCAGCAGAGTGTGCCACATCCCAGCACGTGATCTCAGCACTATTCCAAAGGTTTCCAGAGAAGGTCCAGATTACACTTTGTTTTATGCACACACTTACAATAAACAACAGTCTGTGTGTAGGTATTTGTTCACTTTTACAATGTACACGTTTGTTTAATATGCCATCTTTGCTTTTGATACAGTGTTAGATATCATCAGCTGTTTTATCAGTGGAATGAAATCTGTGATTATATGTAATGTTAAGAATAAAATATACTCTTTACGTCAGCATGTATGATCCGAAAAATGTAGCAATATAGCTTCATGCTGCTGTCAGTCATTATAGTTGGCCGCAGAACGAGCTGACGTCGTCACTAATAATGTGACATAAGTTGTTACTGTAAAGTGTTAATATTGACTCTATTTGTACTATAAAGATTACCTAACACAATTGATGTCGTACTTTATTTATTTATTTGTTTTTGTTGTGGGAAGAGTTTCAAATGATGTGTGTGATATTGACAGCTGTAAGTCTGATAGAAGCCATTGTGTGTATTTAAGAAAAGTTGTTGGACAGGGCTACAAAATTAAGTTGAGATTTCAGGATAAAAATGATCGTTATGTGTCTGAAAAATAAATATGTTTACCTAATTTATACATTTGTACATTGTTTTACAATTAGTTTTGAGAGCCATTTGCTTGTTGGTAATTAATTCCAATTAATTCTGTCCTTTCCCCGCTCAGAGACCCAGGTCGTTGCACGCATCTCTGCTTGTCTAGCAGACATCTCTCAGTGGATGTGTTATGTCAAGTCTTGGACCTTCTCAATATAACTATAATTTAATTACAGTTTCCAGATATTGGAAGAGGCCCATGAGTCTCTTTGCTAATTATCAATGGTCTTTGCAATTAACAGCAGATGTACCCATGTTAAGTAAATTGGCAAAGGTCAGAGGAACTCCAAGAGAGGTCTTCCTCAGATATAATACAGTTAAAGTCTTGTTAGTTAGTGGTTCATATCCAGCATGCATTAGCTAAGAAACGATAAGGATGTTGGTGTGTTAGTTAATGTAAAGAAATGTATGTGCGCTCATGTGCAGACGATATATATAGTTTGTTAATTGGATAATTCATATCCTGCAAGGCTCCTAAAGACTTCATGAGATAATGACCTTTTGACATCTGGAACTTACATGTTGCTCTGATGTTGGTGCGTTCAAGTTTAGGAGACCTGACAATGTGTGTGCGTTAAACATGATTAGGGAACATGTTCGTGTGTCATTTAGAAAACCTATATAAACCCTGGGTTTTCTTGTGTTCGTGGGACCATTTCTGCGATTGGTTGCTGTTGAAGCAAGGTAATGTTTCCCCATTGTTGTTGGTGGTGCGCAACTAAATAATAATGATTAATCTCAACTATTTCTGTGTTTGTGTTTCATTGATTCCTCTCTGTTTCATTCTTTCATGTTGTGTGGAATGCTGGGATCTCCCAACATTTTGGAGGTCCTAACCGAGATTGCGATGCTGGAGGTTGGCTGTGTTTTCCCTGGAGGTCTCAACTCACCCTGATCAGGCAGCTACATAGAAAGCTGTGGTAAAATCTCGAGGAATTGAGAAACCAGACTTGAGACTTCCACAGAAGAAATATACCGACTCACAGTAAGCAAAACGTATTTGGAATGAAGATGACTTTTGAAGTTGTATTGGTTAAAAGGAGATGCAGAGGAGTGGGATTTGAGATATTTGCACGGTTATGGTTGGAGATCTGTTGATTGTTTGTTTTGTTTGTTGGTCTTGTTTTATGTTGATAAATGTTATATACTGGAGAGATCACTGTATCTGACCTCGTAATCTGCCTGAGAAGCTAAGGGTTTGATTGAGGGGATATGATCTTTGCTAGCCGTAAGGACATGTTATGCTGGAGGAATCACTGTATCTGACCGTGCGTAGTCGTGAATTCTGCCTGAGAAGATCCTAATGATTGTCTTAAGGTTCAGATATTCATTTGGCTGAGGGGATTATGATTTGCTTGCGAGCCAAGTGCACATCCGGTCCGTTCGTAATTAAGAGATTAATAGCCCGATCCGAGTTCAGGGAGTTAAAAGTATAAAACTTGCCTGGCGACTCTGTGAATTCACTACATACAAAAGTGGAGTTTTCCATGTTTTGTCAGACCGTAATGTAGAGTCTGTGATAAAAGCGCTAAATGTTTTTGGTATACCATAGTTTGTTGTTTGTGGTCAAAGAAGCCCCCCTTTCTTCTGAAAAGGCTGAGAGCTCCAGCCAGGGGTGTCTGTCTTTGTCTGTGAAAGTATTTCTCCCCATTCTGTAAAAGAGGAGATGCTCTAATTGTTGGCTGTGAGAGAAGCAGCCCGGAGTTTTGTCTGCTTGTTCTTTCGTCTGATGCCTGAAAGAAGGCTGCATTGTGTTTCTCTGTTTAAAACAAGGAGTGAAAGATCAACGAGTGATCTGAAGTTGGAGTGAATACATTGAAAATTAATAGATCAATGTGTGATTTGAAGTAGTAGATATATTGAAATAAATAAGAAACAATGATTTGTTTGCTATTTAAACATAGTCTTTGAGACTGATTGTTACCATTGCATTGCATTGTGAATTTCATGGTATTTGTCATTTGACTAAGAATTGTACTTAATTATATTTCAAAGGAACTTAATTACATACAGTAACGTTAAGGCAAGTAAAAGAGGTTTATGCTGAGTATATGAAGTACATTAAGGTAAAGGTTTTATTCAAATTTAAATATAATAGTGGATTTTCCACCTAGTACAATACATAGAAAGAGGAGAATTGTTTAAACATGAAATAACAAACTCACTGTAAGAAATATATATTGTAATATTATTTAGGAGTTGTATTTATCATACAATAGTGACTCTCATTTGATGGTTGTTTAAAGTAGATAGGAAACTGAAAACGCAAACGATTCACCACAATTGTATTTTTTAAGTTTATGAAGAAAGAGTAGTAAGTAATAAGCAGGAGGTTTTTATAAGTTTGTCAGTCAGAAGGAAAGCTGTTAATGTTTAAGCATGACAGAGGCTCTGTACGATTGCTTGCTCAAGCCATCTCACTGTTGGATAACAAAGAGGTCAAGTGTGATTGATGAGAGAAGCTTGTGGACAGGAGCAGCTGCAGGGCACAGTGAGGAAAGAGAGAGACAGGAGAATTAAGATGTTTTGAAGATAGAGAGAGTAAATGTTATATAAAGTTAACTACTATTCTGGAAATGTTCCTACAGTATAGTTTTACTGTTTATGAGTAACATAAAATAAAATATAAATATATATTACTAGATATAAAACAACATGCTTATCTAGGTTAACAGAAAATTGCTATTAACCAGTTTCAGCTGCAACTATCCTATCTTTGTTCTAAAGAGAACAAACGTTTGAATTTACAATTAATGTTAAGAAGAAAGTTCACATTGATATCATTAAAGGACCGTTTTGGATTAATGGATTGTTCTTTAGGGCCAGAGATATTTATTCTTGGAATATATGGCGTGTCTGTCATAAACATTCATGCTTAGATGGAATAAGTGTTGAGATGTTCTCAAGAGTGGGAGTTTTCACAATGCCTTTTTATTTTTTTTTTATTTAAACAATTAAGTGATAAGGAAAGAAAACCGTTCCGTGATGATTTCTTTAGGTTTTAGCTTTAGTAATGAAGATTACATTTTGTGAGGAAACCACCAATAATTCCTTTAAGTGTTCCAAAAATATATTCATTAACTGTAATCAGATTACTTGGGTTTTTCAAATATAGCGCGGATTGAATACAGTTACTTGATGTTTTGTATTATTACAACCTAACCCTGCTTGTAACACAACTTAGATGAATAATTTGAAAATGAATAGAATAAGCAAGTAGATAAATATGAATCTATAGTGTTAAGGAGGGTTTCCCTTGTTTTGCTCATTGACTTAGAACTGAAGTAAAGAAGAATGGTGTTTTATGAGAACTGTCATTCCTCATGGTTTTTAAAGATAAATCATCAGTTTTTATGAACTTTGATGTAGAAATGCATCATGGTGGAGAATGAAGACCTTTTTGGTTTCGAATTTAAGAAGATTTTAAAGCTTATGTGTATGTTCTTTTCCTGACTAGAATTTAAAAGCAGGACCCTCAACTAGACAAAAGAGATTTTACAATGTAGTTTACTACTTTGATGAAGTAAAGAATCTGGGTAAACTACCACCATTAGTTTGTTTTAACATTCACATGTTTTCAGCATTCCTGACCATATAGACACTCAGCCATTCATTTTATAACCCGTTGGGGGAGAGATTTAAATTAAGTTTTTCCTCTAAGTAGCTGATTGGCTGTGATTACAGCAGCACTGGATAGTTATGCGCCACCTTTGGTTGTACTCTGAATCAGTGTGTTGGTGAAATGTTGCTCACTACAGAAACAGAAGAAGTGTGCAAAGAACGCACCTCTGAGGAGGTTTTGACATTTTGCTTGTGATGGACATGAACCCTTGTTGTCAAGGCAACAGTGGTGTGAAGAGGAACTGCAATTTTTGGGATTTCTACTGTCCAGAGGACAACGTGTGTCTGCTGATTGTACCACATTGATCCAAGAGTTTCCTTCCCTCCAGATGCCAGAGAGAGTTTCCTTGAGCCCACTGACCAAGGCCGTTCTAGCTTTTTTGGAGACCCTGCCACTGACTACAGCTGCAGAGGACAACAAATCACTGACTGTTCTCATTATGACAAGATCTTGAGACAGGCTTGTCTCAGACTGTTTGTTCTGAAGAAATTATGCAATGATTTTACAGCATAACTGTGCAGAGTTTCCAGAGGGTGGTGTAGAACATTATGTTTAGTGTTTAAGTAAGAGAGGCTGCTTGTTTAAACGATGGTGTCTAGAATACTGAAAAGATGAATACTATTAATATCCTTTATTTTGCATACAAGACATCTGATTATTATATTCACACAGAATAATCTTGAAATATAAACTAGCTATGGGGTAAAACGTGTGGTTGTTATACCATTGTTATAATGAACTAAAATAAATAGGGAAATAGTGTCTGGTTAAAGATTAACTGATTTGATAACCTAGAAAGGGTTAGTTATATAGTGAATAACTTTACAAAGTAATTTACTAATGTATTTTGAAGTACAAATAAAAAAAACACGAGTCCAGTTTTGTTTTTTAGATGTCTATTACAAAAACTGTTCACCTTAGGTCTAGCTTTAGACTTGATAGTAAAGAGTATTTAGGCTTATTTTTTAAATATCTGACATTTTTTTTTAAATATGTTGGCTATTCACTAGATAGAGATTTATTGAGAACATTTCTGAAGATTGAATATTTGTTCCAT